TAATTTTATTTTTTATTTATGTATATAAGTAAAAATATAGAAAAAGAAAATTACCTTTTTTTAATAATATAGCTTGATCTTTTTGTCCAATGAGAAGATAGCATAAAGCCTTTAATATGTAGTCTAACGCGGATTGATTATAGTTGGAATGTTGGATAAATGAAGTACAGGGATTGCGAAATTCAATAAAAAGAGAAGTGTTCGAATATTAGGAAAAAGATTTTTATAAAACCGGGGGGGGGGGGGGAAGCAAGGCAACATCATTATAGTCCGAATTAATATGATTTGAAGTATTATATTCTAGTTGTTAGTTGTCGGCAAAAAAAAAAAAAAAAAAGAAAAAGAAAGTTGTTCAGATATTCTTTCAAGTAGTTTTCAAGTTGGGTTTCACTCCCAGGTTTTAGTTTTGTTTTTCAATTTTTTAAAAAAAATGTCTTCTCAGTTTTCTAAGTATAATATTTTTAATTTCATTAATAAGAAATACCAATATTAAAAATATTAAATATCGGTAAAATATTTTCAAATACTGACATATTAAATCAACTTTTAAAATAACAATGAATGTCTCATGGAAAATTATATTCGACCTAAAAGCAATGTCAATGTTTTTGGACAGAGATGGCTATTGGAGAACCCTAATCATCAGATTTCTAGATCACCAACCACCGATGCTGAGAAGCTTTTGAAGGTGGGAGATCTAATCTCTAACGGCTCTTAGAATTTACAATTGATTGCCCGGAAGCTAACTGGTGCAGAAAAGAATTGGATCAGGAAAATGAAGACCCCAGAAACAAACGATATAGATGTTCTTGCCTGGTTATCTTGTAAGAATGGAGGTTATACTGTTAAATCAGGCTATCGGTTTGCTTAAAAAAAAAAAAAAAGAAGAAGAAGAAGAAGAAAAGGCAGTTTTGTCGCTACCTGGTAGCTCTTATAGTGTCCCTACTCAGCTTTGGAATTGCATTTGGAGGTTACAGGTTCCGCCTAAAATAAAACATTTTATTTGGAGACTACTAAATGGGGCTACTGCAACTAAAGATCGATCTATTATTGCAGCATCATGTTGGGGTATTTGGAAAGCAAGATGAATTTGTTTTCCAAGAGATTCATAGTGATCCAACGAAAGTGATCTTTTCAGCATCATATCTTTGTTGGCAAATGAGGTCTAAAAATACTGAAATTACTCACGTACAGAGGTGTAGTGTTAATCATATGCCAAGGGAATTATCTTGCAAAGCACCTACATATGGTTCAATAAAAATAATCTTTGATGATGCTTTCAGTAAGAATTCTACTTGTACTGGAATTGGGATTATTTATAGAGATCATAATAACGGTTCTTCTCTGGCAGTGTGCGTAAGAAAGCTGTGGCAACTTCTCCCTTTCATTCTGAATCTTACTCTTAAGGATGCTATTCTCTATAGTAATCAATTTAATTGTTCTAAGATTTGTCTGGAGACTAATTGTCAAGAACCATACAGGGCTTTTGTTAGCAAATCTTCATGTAACATAGAATGGCAATGTATTGATATATTCGCTGACATTCTTGGTTTATTGAAGACAGATCTCATATTCAGCTCACTCTAGTTTCTAAAAGCTTAGATCTTATAGCAAGAAAGTTACTCCCTCGGGTCGTTTATAAAGAGTTAGATAAGATATTAAGAAAATTCATTTAGTTACTTATTTATAACAAATTTATGTCACATTGGACGTTGGTTTTTTTAGAATATCTTTTCTAATTATGTGTATTATAACTATACCCTCCCCTCTTCCTCTGTGTAATATACTTCGGGGAAAAAATTATACAATCTAAAACATTAGGTAGCTACTCTAGTATCCAAAAATATTCCCTCTGGTCCCTATTATAAGAATCCATACCCTCATTAATTACACTAGATTCCAACGTTATATTAATTTTTGTTCTCTCACTACCTTTATTAAATATAGGCATATACGGGGAAAAAAAATTATGTAATACTCATTGAACCTATCAAATGGCCTTATAAAAAGGATCAAGAATTTTTTCTAGCTAGAAGGGCTCCTTGAAGAAATAGTGTCATTGAACCTATCAAGTATTATGTTTTATTTGTTAATCCCAGCATATTTCTGCACTCCTCTAATAAGTACTAGAGGGAGTAGCTTGAAAATGCTCAGATCTATCACATAGCGAGAAGGTTACAATAATTGATCTTTCTTGTTTCCATCGTGATGATATTGACAAGAACGATTACGTAATGCTTCTATTCTACATTGTGTAATACATGAATATCCCGAGTTTTGGGGAAAAAAGTTATCTAAAAAAATAGATAATAAATTAAATGCGGTTCCCTACAATGACACTATTTTAAAGATTTTGGTCATAGAGTCTTTTGATTTATCGTAAAGAATGTTATAATATTATTCAAAATAAAATACACTAATTACCCTTCTAATTTAAACAAGTTATGGAAATCTCTTCTTGCTCTATTTTGAAAATATATGCTACAAAAACCTCCTTGTATATATATAAAATTTTATTTTCACCTATCAAATCACTAGTTGATTATTAAGTTGGACTCTTAAACTTTGATTTTATCAAAATACCCCTCCTTAACTTAAGAATTATTTAAACATTTATATTTATCAAAAACTAATTTTTTTAAAAAATAAATGGTTTTTTTCCAGAAGGTAAAAGCCCTACCATAAGTAACACTTGGTACTTGTACAAAAACTAATTATCTTTCAAGAATGGCATCTGATATTCGTTCGAACACGGTTTGATTTACGAAAAATATACCACTAAGATAATTACGGCCAAGGGGTCAAATTATATGAATAAAAATTTCTTCCAGCAACAGGATCTAATTAGCATTGACATTATGATCAAATTAACAAAAAAAATGAGTCAAAATGATAGTTTTGCCTTTTTTTTAATTATAAAAAATTTAAGATGACATTAGTTGGGTCTTACACCCCAATCAACTTTATCTTTCATATTTATCTATTTTTTTGGAGATATAGTCTTTGTAGTAGCTGCACATATTAAAGGTTTAATCAAATAATAGTTTTAGCTAATACATATGATTAGCATTAAAAGTATTTTATGAAAGACAATACCTATTTATTATAAATAATTAATTCAATAAACCTTCTTAATCTACTCAAATTAGTTAAACTAGCTCTTATATTAAGGATAGGAGGTAGTAGATCACAATTTAAAGAGAATTAACTGATATATTTACACATATCTAACAATGAATCTTTTTTAAGTCATGTATAAATAATTTCTTCACATTCAAAAACTAGCAATAATTTTTTGTCACTTTTGAATAGTAAAAATGACGAGATTGCTGTGTAACTTTTGAATGTTAGATCGTTAGGATATGAACGGCGTGATTTGGGGTCCAAAGAAATGGAAAATGGACAACACTTGCTGATCAGGGCTTGAAGCATCTTATGAACGTACTATTCTTCTCACCTGGGAAATCTGCAAGCCAAGACTGAAAGTGCAAGTTCATCACCGGTATGATGCAACATCCCTCTCCTCATCAGAGACCCATTTTTCCCCTCTTTATTCTTTGGGAAAATTTTTCAAGCATATTATATCTGTCAATTCTCAAAGTATGAATTGCTTGTTAGTTGCAGACTATATTTTTTCTTCTTTCTTTGACCTTTAATTTGTGTTGATCTGCTAGGAAAAAATAGAATCATAAAAGAGTACTAAATTTGTTAATCTGATATCTTAACATAGCTGAACCAAAACAATTAATGTTTCTTATTTTATTCAGGAGAGGAAAAGAATGTTCTTTTCATCTTTGATGATGTGTCTTCATGAAAGATTAAGCATATAATTAAGATGCTTCAATTCTTCAAAATGAAATTTTGAGTTAATCATTTGATGATGATGAGTGGTTCTACTTTCAGGTTGCTATTATTAATAATAAATGGCTGAGGTGGGAGCGTCAGTGGCAGCAAAACTAGCTGAATATTTGGTGCATCCAACTTTACAATAGCTGCAGTATTTGTTCTATGTCAGTAAAATCACCAGAAATGTTGACATCAAAAAAAGGAAGCTAATACTAAAGCAAGGAAAGGTGCAAGAATGTGTTCAAGAGACCATCAGCAGGACTGAGAGGATCGATGGTGAGGTTAACAAGTGGAAGAATGACGTGAATAGCCTTATAGAGGAGGTGGAGAAACTGGAGGAAGAACTAAGGGCCAACAATGGCTTCCTTCAAGGGTGGTGTCCTACTTGGAGGAGATATTGTCTCTGCAAAATGTTGGCTAAGACAACTCAGAGGATGATTGATCTAGATATAAAGAGTGATCACTTCAATCCATTTTCCCATCATGTTACTATTTCTGATATTGACTATCACTCTTCTCGAAATTTTAAGCTCTTCAATTCTACGCAAAAGGCTTTTGATCAGTTGTGGGAGGCATTGCAAGATGATGGTAACTCCATGATTGGGTTATGGGGGATGGGAGGGTCAGGGAAAACCACCTTGGTGAAAGAAGTGGGAAAGAAAGCGAAAAAGTCACAGCTATTTGATCGAGTTGTGCTCACCACAGTTTCTCAAAGCCTAGATATAAGAAAAATTCAAGGTGAAATTGCTGACACGATGGGGCTCGAATTGAAGGAAGAAACTGAAATGGGCAGGACAAAAAGAATAGCTCTATGATTACAAAGTGGAGAACGAATTTTGATAATACTGGATGATATATGGGCTATGCTGAATCTTGAGGACCTAGGGATTCCCATTGAAAGAAATCATCAAAGAAGTTGCAAAGTTATCCTAACCACACGTCGTCTTGATGTGTGTACCTTGATGGAATGCCAAAAAAAGATTCAACTTCATTTGTTAAAAGAAGACGAAGCTTGGACTTTGTTTCAAACTCATGCTAATGTTGATGAAGGTGCTAAGGAACATGTGGCACGGGCAATTGCTATGTAATGTAAAGGCCTACCCATTGCAATTGTAGCTATAGATAGTTGCTTGAAAGGAAAAGGAATTGATGAGATGAAGGTAGTGTTGTGTAGGTTGAGGAATGCAAAGCCAAACAATATTGATAAAGGTGTGAGGGAAGCTTTTGCTTGTCTTGAATTAAGTTATGACTTTTTGGCAACCCCAGAAGCCCAGCGGTTATTGCTAATATGTGCTATGTTTCCTGAAGACCATGACATTGTTGTTGAAGACCTTTTTAGATATGGAGTGGGATTAGGCCTATGCAAAGATGTAGACTCATTTGAAACAGCAAGAAGCCAAGTTAGAGCAGCTGTAAATTATCTTATTGACTCCTCATTGCTGATGCATTCTTCCCTAAAGTTCAACGTGGATGCACCAGAATATGTGAAATTGCATGATATGGTTCTTGATGTTACTTTGTGGATAGCATTTAAAAAAGATGGTAACATTGTGGTAAATTGTATAAAAGAATTAAACGAGTTGATTGTTGATGAAGTGATAAAAAGTTGTTATGCCATATCGTCATGGCATGAAAATACTGAATTACTTCAATTTCCTTCTCAATTGGATGCCCCAAAACTTGAGTTTCTATTGTTACACTCAAGGGAAACCTTAGATATATCACATGCATTATTTGAAGGTACTAAAGGACTCAAGGCTTTGATTATTATGTGTGTGGATTGGGATAGGATTAAACTACAACCTCGATTAAACCAACACTTGTCAAACCTTCAAACTTTGCAATTACAAAATTGGGATTTACGTGACATCTCTTTTGTGGTAAGCCTTATAAGACTTGAAATTCTTGACTTGCGATTTAGTAAATTTGAAAGAGTACCAAATGGAATTGAAAAGTTGAAGAAGCTGAAGTTGTAAGATATGTCAAGTTGTACAATAGATGCATGTTGTTATGGTGTAATAGGAAGATGCTCACAGTTAGAAGAGTTATATGTTCCCAGACATTCTCGACGCTCAAAAAATGCAAATTGCTACGAATACCTTATGGGCCCCACTGCTTTGATGTATTTGAGAAGGTATAATCTAGAAATTAGGAAGCATGGCAGAGCCTTTGTATTTAAGGGTGAACATACAAGATCTTTACGCCTGGGTCAGTTAAATATCTCTATATTGTTACCCACAATAATCAAGCATCTTGCACAAAGAGCAACGAAAATTGTATTTTATGAGCTTGAAGGAGGCAGCAAAAGTTTCATGCCTGATATAATCCAAGCTGTAAGGGGCATGAAGGAGTTAAGTAGACTCTGTCTTCAAAGATGTTCAAAGATTGAATGCATTATTGACAAAACTACTCTTCATGAAGATGCGGTTGTCCTCAAATTGAATGAGTTGGTGCTAAGAGACATGGATAATCTTGAACGACTATGTCGTGGTCCTTCTCCTTTTAGCTTGTTCCAAAAGTTGGAAAGATTAACCATATTCAATTGTCCTCATTTGCTCCCCGTATTCCCGGCTGATTGCAACTTAGGCAATCTTAAGGTTCTCAAAGTTAACAAGTGTCCACTGTTAACATATCTCTCCCCTGTCTCTGCTGTTTGCACGCTACTATCCTTAGAGGAGCTCCGAATAAAATGTTGCAATGAATTGAAGCACATATTAGAAGAAGATGGTGGTGTTGATGCATGGGTGAGTTTGAGATTCCCAAAATTGAAAATTTTGTATGTTAGGAATTGCTGCAATTTAGAATCTGTGTGCCCAGTCTTTTTAGCTCGAAGGTTTGTACAATTGCAAGAGCTATCCATAGTAAATGCTCTACAGATGAAATCTTTGCTAGGTGAAAATGCTGGTGAAGAAGAACCAATGCTTGATCAAGATGAGACTCAGATAGTTCTTCCTCTTTTGGAATATCTCAACCTAAAAAATCTTCCAAATCTTGTCCAAATTTACTCAGAGAGGTATCATCCAAGGTGTCCATCTATAAAGACAATAGAATGGAGAGACTGCCCAAATATGGTACGCATTTGCCTCCCATACTGTAACTAGATTTGCAAAAAAATGTTTAAAAGGACTAGTTTTTTAATAAAAAGATATCTTTTGTTCACGTGATTAAATTTTTTTTAACATGCTTTAACTAATAAATATTGTTGAAGTGAGTGCCTTTTCGGAGATGATTCAGTCAATGAACTCATTCACATTTTGTTATTTAGAAAAAGAAATAAAATTAAAATATCTAAAAACATTAATAAAAATTCGGCTGTGTCTTGAAAAACATTTCAATGCATGGATAATCTAACAATTACATTTTGTTAGTTTGTATTGTGGTCATTCGATTTATTTATCATTTCAACAGCCCACAATAAACATTGACATTTATGGGCCCCTCATTATAATTTTTCCTTGACTTCATTGATTGTGAAATTTATTTTCTTATATATGCATATAGTTGATTTTTATTTGTTTAATTTACCAAAAAATTGATAGACTAAGTCTATGCAATAATAATACATGTGCATATCGAATTTTAATTTATCCCAATTTATCGTTTTTAGGAAATATGTTAATGACTTTCATTTCCTTTTCTTCCTTTTTTTTCCCCTCTTTCATAAAGGAATTGAAGGAACTTAAAGGCCGTCAATTGGGGAATGAAGAATATAAGTCATTGGCAACTATAGAAAGGATTCGACTTGATAATTGTGGAGTAGAATCCATTTTAAACTACCAGATTGGGGTTGAAGGACAAATTCCAACATTTCAGTACCTTAAAGAATTAACTTTGGAAAATTGCGCAAGATTAAAATTTGTCTTTTATGCTCATATCTTTCAAAGTCTCCCAGGGTTAATTTCTGTAACCATATCTTGTTGTGAGGAGTTGGAGGCAATTTTTTTTGGGAAATGAAGAGATTGATAAGAATCCATCCATCACTGAATTTTGTCTGCTGAAATTGAAGAGGCTGGAGATCTCTAATTGCAACAAGCTTAAATTCATTTTCATGATCAGTGCTGCTACCCCAATCCTTCCACAACTAGACACTCTAATCATATCAGATTCTTATCAAATGGAACAAAGTTTTAAATACTCAAATATTGAAAATCAAGGCATTGACAGTGAAAAGGAGATTTTGCTCCCAAACATGAAACTTATGAAACTTCAGAACTTGCCAAGGCTTGTTAATGTCTGCCAAGGGTTTAAGTTGCAAACATATGAGTGTTGCACTGTTGAGGTTCATGATTGCCCAAGACTTGTGCCAATTATGAGTGCAATTATTAATTGGACTAAAGAGTTAACTAATATTCTACGTTTGTGTTTCTCCATATTGTAAATCTTGTCTATGTTTTATTTTGCAATATTGATTAAATTCATGGTAGCTAGCAGAATAGTTAATGTTTCCATTTTTTATGTTTTAATGTTTTTTTTTTCATTTTTAGGCTCATAAAGTCCGGTCCACACCTTCATTCCTTTCACATGCATAGGCACCAGATATTTACATACAAAAGCTCGATGGGAAACAAATCGTTCTGCATTTCATACAAATTCCTTTCTACTTCTTTACATGTATCTATTTGACATGTACTATCATACATGGAACAAACCCTGTGATCTACAATTTAATTTATCAAGTTGTGACTATATTTTTCTTTTAAATCTGATCTCTTTCTTTTAATAATCTTTCTGATGAACTTATAATATTCTATTTCCCCCACCTCTCGCTTCTCTGTTGTATGCAGGGACTTGAAAGGAAGTATGCGTTGAAAGACAGCCAATTAAATAATAATGAGGCTTTCAATCTTTCGCTCCCTATTCTATATGCTGGAGAGCTTGATACTCAAAGTCCTAGAGTTGAACATAAGTGGCAAGTGATTGGTGATGATGAGCAAGAAGAAACCAATGACTCAGAAATGTTGAGGTCAAAACAACAAATTCTGGGAGGTCTTGTTCCCACACAAGTTTTGAGCTTCCAATATCTTTGTTCCTTAGAAGTAACTCACAGTAAAAAGTTGAAGTTTGTATTTTCAAGGAGCACTATTGTCCACAACAGCCTTCCCAAACTGACTTCTCTAACCTTATTTGATTGTGAGGAATTAGAGGAAATAATTGCAGAAAATGAGGAACATCAGATCATGTCCAATAATGTTCAAGTTGGCTTCCCAGAATTAAGATGGGTGGACGTTAAGAGGTGCAATAAGCTCAAAAGACTCTTCTCTACGTCCGTGGCTACCATTCTTCCACAACTATACTCTTTGTTGATAACTGAGGCTAATCAATTAGAGGTGATTTTTGGACATAATAGTGAAGATGATACCAACTACGGTGAGATTGTGCTTTCAAGCTTGCGGAAGATAGAGCTAACAAATTTGCCAAATTTCATGAATGTTTGTCAAGGGTTGCAGATTCAGGCGCATCTAAGTGACATATGGATACACAACTGCCCCAAACTTGTGGATTCAAGTTTGGGAAGGTCTCTTCAACAATTGGGAACAATATCGGTATGAACAATATTCTATATCAATGTTGATTGGAGTCTTCAAAATTAGATGGAATAATATTTGGATTAGAATCATATATATCAATTTTCTAGCTGAAAATATATGAATTAAATAGGGAGCTTATGACTTACAAAGAGATGCGAGGACACGAAGAAGAAAACAATAGTTGATATATGTATAAAACTAGATTTTCTTTCAATTCCAGAGCACAATAGAGGAAAATACGAAATATATGACTTCATTTTATTTTTTTTAATATTTATTAAAGATATTCTTTTTATACTTTTCATGTGCAACCATGTCAAAATTTCGACTATGAAATTTCACCCAAAAAAAGGGCAATGAAAGAATAACTGTATGTGTAGCGATTTAGAGAGAATATGCTTGGTATTCTTACAATATATATGTGTGTGTGTGTATTCTTTTCAAATTCAAGTTTAAAAAAAACTTTCACTACTAAATTTGATTGTTGTGATTAAATTTTGTCCTTTTTTTAAATTGAAATTGCGGTTGCCACATGTTTCAAGAGAAGATCTTTTCAAATTCAAGTTTTAAAAAAACTTTCACTAGTAAATTTGATTGTTGTAAATACATTTTGTCCCTCTTTTAAATTGAAATTGCGGTTGCCACAGGTTTCAAGAGAAGATTCAAATATTCAAGTAGCCTCATATCTGTATGGGAGGCTCCCAGTTTCATCATCTTCCAAAATCTGAAGGAGCTATATGTGAATGGTTGTAGTAGATTGAAGTGTATGTTCCCCAGCACTGTGATCAGAAGCCTACCATGTTTGTCGCATCTAGACATCAATTGCTATGAAGAGTTGGAGGAGATAATTTCATCAGGGCATGACTTCCCAAACACATATTCCTCTCATTCCTTGTGCTTCTCACAGCTTGAAACTCAGTCTTTGGATGCAGAAAGTTGAAATGGCTCTTCCCCTCTCTGCCTTCAGCCCAACATCTTCTACAGTTGAAATATCTGAGGATTAGCTGGTGCTCTGAACTAAAGGGACTTTTTAATGGCGAACTTGAAATCCATGATGAGGAAGGCTTCTGCAACAACATGCTTCCAATGCTGAGAGATCTTAAGGTTTGGGATTGCCCCAACTTCTCCAAAACCACACTTGCTGTTCTTCAAAGGTACACGCATTTATACTACATATCCACACCTATCCATATTTGACTTTAGATTTTTCTGTCTTTTTTTCCGAATTTCTTATTTTCTTTACTAGTGTTGTATATATTTTTCAAATGCACAACTTAGAAATATTGGAACCGCACACCTTAAAGAAGTTTTGTTTTTTTGGATCTTGAATTTATTTATAAAAAATTTATAGTAAAGAGCCAAATTCACAAATTAAATATTTAGCATGCCGTTAATCTCTAGCACATTGCATGTTTACTGCTAGTCAGCACTCACCATTCACATAATACAAATTTAAAACTCAGAACGGATTTAACATTATTTACTAGCTGGAATAATGAGAATTATTGTCACTAGTGGCCCTTAGGCCTGATTCTTCCTTTATTTTATGTTATCTCCCTCCATGATCCATCCATTTTCTTCTGAAAATAAAAGATATAATCGATATACACATCTTGGAAGAACTGCAGAATGAAAACTTTTTTTCCCGTGCATTTGCCGCATGTTTTCCTCAGATTTATTCTTTCTTTGCTCTGGTAAATATAATGTCTACATATTATTGTAAACTGATTTTGAGATTGTAATTTTTCTCATATCTGTAGAGTCTGCAGCAACAATACGAAGCGAAAGATGGTGATGATGATGATTGATTGTGTGTTTATCCCTATTTAACTAAAGAGGAGGATATGTTTGAGATTGTGTCTGCCTCTGATCTTCTTAATTTATCACTTTAAGATGCATTGCATGGAATCAACATTGCAGAAGGGATTCATTTGTCTCGTGTTTATTTAAATACTTTGGTTTGTTGTCTACATATAATAATACATAACGTTCACTTTCTGCCTCTACATGAATGAGCATTCATTCATTTTCAATGCAATTTTTTTCGGTGGAGCATATATGAATTTTTATAAATACATTTTTTTCTTCTTGTTTAATTTTTACAATGAAAGGAATTTTGGTGTTTTACTTTCTTTCGGCTTACTAACAGAATTAAAAAAATCGACATGGTCGATGATGAATGAAATAACATATCAATGCTTTTTCGAGAGTGGATAAAATTTTCAAGACTTTATCTTTTTTTTATTGAGCAGTCTTGGTAGATCAGTTTAGATTGTAACTTAAAACATTTTGTCCACATAAATATTATTAATTTAATTAACGTTACTTTCAAATTTAAGTTTAATGAAGAAAATCAGCAAAAATTAATATAAAGAGACATTCGTTGACTCCCATACACCACCACAACCAATGTTATTTTATTTTTTTGCAAAACATTTAATGAAAAATTAACAACCAAATAAGTTTTTTCTTGTTTTTTAAAAACAAAAAATTGTTTCCAAAACAACAAAACAAACATCCCCTGAACTCTTTTTTCTTTTTTTCCCCCTTGTTTTGCCAATTTGTTCTAGTAGCCAGATATGCTTCTACTGATTTGAATAAAGATGTGTAATATGCGATGTTTATTAAGCTCATCGATACATATGCTAGAGGTTTTGGATTGGATTTGAGCTTACAAAGACATTATAATCATGCTCTTTGGTTTTAGATAGATCCAGCAAAGTAACAACGGTAATGATAAAACTCAAAATTCATTCCAACTAAAAGAGATTTTGGAGAAAGCCATAATTTTGGGGTTAGTCTCATGTAACAAAAAATGCTGATTCAACAAATTTAAATAGTGATTCTATAACACCCCAAATTTTCTAACTTAGAAAAATTTAAAAAAATTATTTAAAATTATTTAGAGCTTAAATAAATCGGGAATTGAAGACTTAGAAATATTTTGGAAAATTTTATTTCCCCAAAAATAGCTTAAATAATTTTAAAGTTAATTTTTGGAGCAAAAAGGGCCTATTTTTCTAGACAATTTAAGAAAAAATAGTTAGAGTTTTAAATTTGAGCTAAACATTTTAGGATAATTATTTTGTGAGGTAACGAATTTATTTAAGGAATAAAATCCTTAAAATGAGTTAAGGATTAATTTCTGGAATTAAGGACTATTTTCTTGAAAAATTCAAAAAAAAATAGTTAGGGCTTAATTTTTTTAACCCAAATTTTTATAAAAATTATTTCATGGGTTGAAAAGGCTGATTCAGGCTGAAAGTCGACATAAAGTATCAAGGATTAATTTTTGGAATCAGTTGATTTCTCTTTTTCAAATACGAAAGCAAGGATTAGGTTGTAAACAAAAGATTTGCCAAGGGTAGAATGGTCATTTGCTCGTATAACCATCACCTCTCTTCCGGCAGCCTCCATTCTCGCCTCGTGCTTGATAAAAAACAGAGGGAGAAATTGGAAGAGGGAAAGTTGAAGACCGATGAACCAGAGGAAGCCCAAAGAAGAAGTGGTTGAAGCACAAGGATTCCGTCGCATGCAAAGGTGGATTCAAGCTAAGGTAAGGGTCCTAAACCTTCTTCCACCTTTGTTTCTTCCCTTTGAGGGATGTTTTCGGAGTGGACGGTGGCTGGAAATTTTAGAGTTAGTGAGAGAAAATGGAAGAACGAGTGAGATAGGCAGCCGTTATAGCTTGTGCATGGAAACAATGGTGTTTCACGTGGTTGGATATTTTTGCATGTGTGGCTGCAGGTTCTGTTTTTGTAATGGCGAAATTTAAGCCCCTGTTCCGTTGGGTATAGTGTCGAAATCACGGTAGACAAGTGAAGGAAAGTTTAAATAGCATGTACATGAAGAATACATGCTGCTGTGTGCTATTTTGGAGGATGGTTTTGATTCTGTTATACCGTCCGAAACTGTAACCTTTTATTTCAAGGGGAGTTCATTTGGTTTTTATTATGAGGATGCTATAACAGTAACTTAAATGTCATGTAGTTGCTGAAATTGAGTTTATTGAAGATGAAATTATATCTGGATTGTTGTTGAGGCTTTGGATAATAAATGATACTCTCTCGATGTCCCTTTTTATAAGGAACAACAACCATTCCCCTCTTGTTCCTAAATATAAGCGACATTTACAGGTTGTCTTAAATTTTTGTAGCAAATTTTCTATTTTATCCCTATTAATTACTTATCTTAATACTTAATATATTTATTATCTCATTTTTCAAACTATCATCTCTCTCCATATCACATTCTCTCTCTTTTATAACTCTCTTTATTATACTAATTTTCTTATTTTCTTTGTTATACTCCATCTCCTCCATAAATAAGGATATTTTAGAGGAAAAAACTTTTAATTTTTATCCGTTCATTATCTCTACCTAACTTTTTGATCTACGTAATGAAGTTCAAAGTTGCTTATAAAAAGGGACAAATGGAGCAGTTAAGATGTTAATTTAGTATGAGAGGAGGATGAATATTGTTAGATCTTATTTGGGAAACATGTCTAGAAGATTCCATAATTGAAGAATGATACTGTCTGAAAATTGCAAGAGGGAGTTATCTAAGGATAAAGACTAAGGAAGTTGATTGATGTAACTAATATCAAGTAAGAAGATGACTCTCTATGTTAAATAATTTTTCCGTGTGCTTGTACCATGCCTAGAGAAGGTTGAAATGTTGTGAGCCTATGTATATATACCTATGCTTGTGTATGACGTTATGAGTGAACGTGGAAACCAGGAACTTATCTTCTGCTATGATGAAGTTTTAAGTTAAATGAGAAGATAAATAGAAATAACTTTCATATTACAAAAGGTAATTAAAATTAATTTGAAATCAGCGTTTGAGATTCATTTGAGGTTTCTAAAAGGTGGATTGGAAATGAAAGTGATGGAATGATTAAGATTAAGATTAAGTTATGTTATTGTTAAATGTCTTTTGATGTCAAAAGTTACTTTAGATGGTTGTGTGAGACTTTTGAAGGTGAAAAATTATTTCAAGTTGGTTCTATACCCACATAGATATATAGACATATATATGGCATTTGATGTGGACCTGAGAAGGGAAAATTTTCCAATTGAAAACGTCTTGATATAACTCACTGTTTTGGAACTTTTTTATTGTTAAATAAATATTCTACCTTGTTAAATCAGGTTTGAAAGTAATAGGATAATGATTTAAAGAATGTTGAATGTGGGAAAATAATTTCAGATTGAGAGTAGGATTAGTTGAAGCATTAGGGGTTATTAGGTAACAGTTAGGAAAGTGTACGGAAGCTGGAATTTGATTTGGTTTTGCTGATTCATGATTATGAACTATGAGTCACTGTCTAAAGGTGTTAGAGATCACCAAGGGTTGAGCTGTGAATGTTGAAGTATCTTTGTAAATTTGGAAAATATTTCCAGATTAAGTGTAAGGTTATTCGAATCATTGGAGATATAAATATACATGTGTGTGTGCGTGTGCGTGTGTGTGTATAGGCATGTGATGTTATGAATACTCAATATATAATTACTGTTTAGTATCCTTAGATGTTGAACAACTATTTTAAGTTATTGAGTTTAGAAACTTTGAAAGGAAGGCTAATAGAGTAGTGATATATAAAGGTGTTTTGAAATATGGTTAGAAATTTATTGAAGTGCTGTGATGATGATTTTCAAAGCTGGAAAATAATTTCCAGATTTAATATGAAGTGCTAATAGAAAATATTTTAAAGATAGAATGACGTTGAGATTTTAGGACTTGTATATGTGTATTCTTGGAAGTTGGGAAGGTCAAATAAAGAGTCAAAAGAAATGAGGAACTCATTGGTCAAAACTTGGAATCTTGAGCAAGTATTTAAAACTGTTGGAATATGCTTTCAAGTGTTAAGACATTGTTCTAATCTCTTTAAGCTCTAGAGAATAAGCTTGAGGTTAATGATAAATGACTAAAGGTCTTTCTATGGTGCTATTTATCTAGAATGATTAGTTGAGCACAATTCTCAAATCTGAGAATAATTGTAGAACCAAAAGATTAAGTTGCCCGAAATGTTGAGGATAATTGAAGAATGATTGATTCAAGTTGAACATACATATGTGTATCGAGCCAGCTTGTCAAGTAATAGTTGAGTTGATTAATTTAAATCCAAGGTCAAAGTAAATTTGATTTAATTAAGTCTAAATAATTAGACTAAAATCCACATATGTCTCTCGGCCAAAGCTTGCTGGTAATGGCAAAATTTATTAATCAATAGTTGGAGTTTGATTGGTTTGGATTCAAATGCTTGAGAATGAATGTCCACGGGGGTCATTAAGATTAAACTTGATGAAACTCAAGTAAGTGGGCTTGTAAACATATACATGTATGCATGTATGTATACATGCATTGAGGGTGAGTAGTTAAGGATTGTAAAGTGATTTGTGGACATTGTAATGTGTACACACACACACACACACGCACACACATATGCTTTTTATTTTCCACGATGACCAACCACTTGATAAAAAGGAGGCCGGTATGGTGAATAGGACACAACAATTGTACTAAAATGTAATAGTTAAGTTAATACTTTTTTTTTACCAGAGATGATCAATCATTAGGTAACAGTAGAGATTAAAGAAAATTGGGAATTAAGAAAAGTTATTCAATTTCATGGACTGTAGTTGGATCAAGTGGTAACCTACACTTACCTATATGATAGGTTTTAACATTTGCATAAGCCCACCAAGGACACAGCATAGAAAGAAGGAAATCAGGTTTGATTTGGGAGTAGGGAGACTCAAGTAGTAGTTCTTTCCTATCTTATGCTTGTGTATAATTGCTGTATGTCTATTTGCGCCATATTGCTGTTTTAAAGTATAAGAATATGTAATCTTTAATTCCTTTCATGGACTATTTAGCTGTGATCACGTGGAGCTAATAAACATGGGATAGTATCTGCCAATTATTTGTGCATTATATATTCAGTTTGTCTATCTGTCATTACGCATAAATGCTTAATTGCATTAGCTTGCAAGATTATATTCCACTTTGGTTTGTTTTCCATGCTTTGTGTAATTTACACATTTGTTTGATGGAAACTACTATTATGGGGATTTTCCAAAATCTCACCTCCCTTACAAGTAATAAAGCCACAGTTGGTAGTAGCAAGGGCAAAGAAATAGTAAGAGAAGAAGGTGGGCTATGAGAATAGCAGGAATGCCTGCTTCTTTTTGTATGAATATGTGGATTATTTATTGATGATTATACTATAGTTATTTTGGCAAGTAATAAATACTAGTTATATATATACACACACTTTTGTATCCTCCATAAGGAGGAGAGCGCTGGCAGGTGCAAGTAAGTACCGTCAATCAGGTTGCTATATTTTAGCATAGTATTATGAGATTTCAAAACATAAAATCATTCTAGGCGATAGTAAATTAAGTTGAAAATAGGGTAGATTGTACATCACTCGTTAGCTTTTATGAAAGTTTAAATTATTTTAATGATGAATTCTAATGTTAATTTCATGGTCAACTCTTGCATTACGATTCTATTTTCAAATGATTTATGTTTTGAAATTAAAAAAAATCCCAATTTTTTCAGGATAGAAACATGGCGTTTAGTGATTCACAGACATTAAAATAACTTTATTAGTATATCGAAAGTTAGGTGTTGTAGATTCCACAATTAAATGCCAACAAAACATTTTCTAAGTTTTAATTATTCTTTAATACTCCCTCCGTTCCTTATTATAAGAGACATTTGAAGCTTATGGCATGTTCCTATATATAAGAGACACTTACAAGTTGTCTCTACTTTTTTGTGTTGATTTACTATTTTACCCATATTTATTATCTCCAACTCACACTCTCTCTCCCTCCCACTTCTCTTTCTTTTAATAATTTAATTGTTCTCTCTCATGCTCTCTCTCCTTATTAATGAGGGTATTTTTGGAAAAAAATTATACTTTTTACACATTAATTGTTCTTAACTAATTTTAACTGTTTTTTTGATCAACGTACTTCGGTTATTTGTCTCTTATAATAAGGAACGGAGGGAGTACTACTTTTGATCCTTGATATAAGATCCACTTGATTGATTTGAAGGGATTAAAAAAGCCAAATAAATTATTTGAAGTTGGGCAAATTTGTTTGAAGAAAAACAATAAATATAAATATTTTAAAGTAATTTATTTAGTTTTTTTAATCTCTTTAAATTAGTTAATTATATCTTATATTAAGGATCAGAAGTTGTATAATCATTTTTATAACTTAAAAGTAGAAATATAATAAAATATTATAAATATTATAAAATAATGGATAATGATTATATTAAAAAATTCATTTGATTAAAAAATTAATTTAGAGCATGATTTATAAGCATTTAATTGTAGAGAGTCACCATTTAAATTTATTAAGCTAGTACCTTATATTAAAAAACTGAGCCTTAAGATTAAAGGACTAAAAATACAATTTTTATATTTAAGTGATTAGACTAAAATTTGATATAAATTTTAAATATCAAACATATATTTTAGTCTAAGAAATTTTATTCCTAGACCGTCCTCATATAGAAAGCACAACTTTTTAAAGTATGAAATTGGAAATTAATGAATATTTGCAAACCAAATCAAAAAGTAATTTAATGTCTTAATTTTGAAGTATGAAATTGGAAATTAATGAATATTTGCAAACCAACCCGTATCGAAAGCATTTTATATCAAGCATTGTTCAAAAGCTTCTTAGTATTTTCTGATTCTATTAGATTTTCAAATTATTCGAACCATATTTGTTAGGCTCAAAAGGCTTGCCTCAATGTCGATTACTCCGGTCTTTCAATACACAGTACGAACTCAAGCATCAGAATTCAATTCACGATGGACAGAATTTAAGAGAAAGTATATTTTCTGGCAGAAGAGAGAAGTCCTTTGAGTTTATTAATTTGGAGGCCATTCAACAGAAAGCAGCGAAGTGGGTGATAACAGATGAATGAACAAGAGAGATAAGAAACAAATCACACTTAGCAACTATAATATTTGGGTCTCAAACAATGTGAGGTAAATCCAGTCCAAAAAGCTTTCTTCAAGATTAAATGGATCTCTTTTGAAAAAAAAAAAACAAAAGATTAAATGAAGATTAAATGGATCTTGTGCCGCTGTACAATATTTTCGAATTTTCACCTTTTTAAATGCACAGCTTAGAAGAATAGAAGAAGGAGATAAAATCATTCAATAAATTGTATTTATGGTAGAAAAACTTGGTCGTTAGCACAAGAAAATAATTGTTACTCCTTTACCCACCGTAACTAATGCATTTGACAGTTTTGCAAAAGGCAACTTGTTGGCAAAAAAAAAAAAAAATTTGCAAAAAGCATTGCCTGAAATTGTTGGCAATCAGTTATAACAAAAACAAGAGCAGGGAAAAAATGATAGATATTTTCAATGCACAAGGGAGGGGTCTCCGCAAAGCTATCTAGAAATGCAACAAGTGGTAGAATGAGGAGGGAGATAAAGGCATCAATTTTTTATTCGTTTGGAAATAAAGAGTCATCTCTTTTACTATTTAATAAATCATATAATAATTATTTAATTACTGCATATCTTGGTTGGCCCACGTTTAAGATCATTCACTATGGAACGTGGGTTGACAGTTTCATGATAGGTAGTTTCATCAACGGTGAACACGGGCAGTTTTTTTTTTTATTACAATTAAGTGAAGTAATATTTTTTGTTTTGTAAATATATGATAGCTGTTAAATTAAAAAATTATCCACATTGTCCCGTATTTCAAGGCTATGTTATGGGCAGTTTTCTGATTTCTGATTAATATTTTATGCTGTAAATTAATTTAGTTAATATTTTATGTTTTGAACTAAAACTAATATTTTATTAAAAAGCTGCAATTGGTTACTGTGGGTTCAAATTAATATTCTTTTAAATTACATTTAATAATCTTTCAAATATTAAATTAAAATTAATATTTCATAAAAGTAAAATTAAAATTTATAGATTAAAAAGTTATGAACTTACAAATATATTTATAAAATTAAAGAATAAAATAATTGAAAGTGATCGTGTTGTAATGTTTTTGGGTGGAATTTTTTGAGGATGGTTAGTCTTTCAGATTTCAAATTAATATTTCATATTTTAATATATTTACTAAATTAAAGTTAAAATTAGTATTTCATAACACCGGCAAAAGTTAGGGTGTCGACGTTATGGGTGTAACTATGTGCACAAAATCTGCTGCCACTACGGACACAAAATCACTTGCATCATTCCACTACATAGGTCACTATGAGCACAAAATCTGCTACCCACTATGCGCATAACTACATGGTATTTTGTGCTCTATACCCGTTATGTATTATGAGTGGAACTGTAGCTACATAACACACGTGCATTGCTAATAACGTTTATTTTCTTATTGTAACCGTAGATGAATTTTTTGCTATATAAAGAGCAGGATCCTATAGATTTATTCCAATTAGTAAATTCCTCCTATTGTTACCGCACCATCCATTTTCTCCAAGTGTTCACATAGCTCCTGCATTTGATTCAATTTGTGTTATTAACCCATGTAGACAAAAACGGAAAATCAAAGTTCGTGTGGTTTGATTATGGACTATGCCCGGACACTACTCTCATGAAGAGATATCATCCATGGAAATGATTCTCAGGGACGAGGATGTAAGTATTTTACTGATTAATTTAGGCATTTTACTTCTTGTGTTCTAAGAGTTATTTTCTTACAGGGTGACAACATCCACGTTACAGTTAAAACTGCCTTCCTTCCATGACATCGTAAGAATCTTAAAGAGGGAAAAACATATGTGGTGTCGTATTTTTATGTTTCTCCCAATACAGGCTCATACCAAACCATTGATCATCCCTACCGAGCAAACTTTATTTTTTCCACTTATGTTCAACCATGTGTGGATGATGGCAAAATAAACAACTTTGGTTTTGCATTCCGTTCATTCTCTGAAATATTACCCGATCAGTTTGATGATCGATATCTAATTGGTAGGCTGTTATATAAGTGTTGAATATGTGATTATTATGTTAAAATTATTTGTGGTGAGCTAACTCTATATTTTCTCTTGTAGATGTCATCGGGTTACTAATTGGAGTGGGAGAAAAAGAAGAATGCAATGTCAACGACTCCGATGAAGGTATATTGTCATATATTATTGAGTAGATATCTTGGAAGAGGTATTTGTTCAAGATACGTATTCCAGGAGATTTTGTCAATCGGAATTCCAATGTGTGTGTAGTTACTCGGTTGACAAATGATAAAACCATAGTACTGTCTTTCTTGAACACATCTTATGAATACGTTGTGTCAAAGGGTTGTACTTCCATTGGTCTCACAGAAGAAAAGGTATAGCTATTTCATTTTGTATTATATCATTTTATTTCTGTTTTGGATGCATTACACAAATATATACATATGTTTCTATACATCTAAATATTTACATTTATGCAAAACACTGAGCAGTGCCTAGTAGAATCATCTGATGGTGCAAGTTCTTCTGCTAATAAAACTGTGCATGGAAATTTCCCTGAATTATCAAAGTTTGACTCACTCTCTATACACCAAGTGCCAACTGCAATAGGCCCAAGTCTTGAAGTAATGAACTCCATAGTAGAATCTAAAGTTGCAATTGTAAACACTACCAATATTGAGAAGGCAAACCCATTTGGTAATTTCCCATCAGCTGATTGTCAAGTTGAGGTAGAGAGTAGCAAGCACAATGCTGGTTTCGTGGAAATCCCTTCTACTACATTTGGACATAATGCTACAAAGAATGGTACTGAAAATATGTTAAATCATCCACTTGGTGGAAATCTTGAAGCTGATGAAATAACACATCATTTGCAAGACGCCACAGAGCAAAATGCAAACAAATCCAGGAAGAATAGGCTTGAGTTGATGATTTCGAATTTTATGTCATGTTGTTAATTTCATTTCTAGCTCTTATTCCTAATTTGGCGTTTTTAATTTGTTTTTAGTTTATGTATTTATTTCCAATTATTATGTGTGTTGATCATATTCTTAGAGACAACTATGCTTTTTATAATGGTCAAACAATTTCGTTTGTTTCATTTTATACTTATCTGTTTATTTTATATAATTTATATTTCGTCTTGGAACCATTAAGAAACAGGTTATTAAAATATTAATTTATTCCCTTATATATATGATATATGACAATAAAAACTCATTATTGGTGATAGCGTTTTTTGTATTTAAAAATTTTATTTTTTATTTATGTTTTCTTTAGTTAATCTTTGATTTTGTGTTTTTTTTATGTTTTATTTTTTTACTTATTTGATAATAATTTCTTCCTATTTATGTGGATAGTGGGTTGCTGTGGCCATGGACAGTTTTTTTCATAATGGGCAACAGCCACTCTCCAAGTCAATCGCTAATTAAGGGGTTAGGAGTTCATATTATTTTTAAATGGCAAAAATAAAACAGGTTATTAAGATATTAATTTATTCCTTTATAAATATACCATATGACAAGAAAAACTCATTATAGGTGATAGCGTTTTTTTTATTTAAAAATTTTATTTTTTATTTATGTTTTCCTTAGTTAATCGCTGATTTTGTGTTTTTTTTTATGTTTTATTTTTGTTAGTTATTTGATAATAATTTCTTCCTATTTACATGGGTAGTGGGTTGTTGTGGCCATGGACAGTTTTTTCATAATGGGCAATAGCCACTTCCTAAGTCAATTACTGATTAATGGATTAGAAGTTCATATTATTTTAAATGGCAAAAATAAAGCAGGTTTTTTTTGAGCAAAAAATAAAACAGATTAAAATATTGATTTATTCCCTTATATATAAAATTTATGACAATACAAAAATCATTATAGGTAATAACATTTATATTTAAAATTTCTACATATATTACCTCAGGATATGCGAGATCTGCTTGTATATGTTGAAAAAAATATCGCTAGATTTATTAGGCATTTATTTCCGTTCTTCTTCGTCAAATGCAGTTTTTATGTTTATCTACATTTTAGTGTATTTTTGTTTTACATGAATATTATTTCATTCTCAGCGTTCAGTTTAACTTATTATTCTTACTTACTCATTCCCTTACTGTATATTAACCATGGCATAATAGATTATAGTATAATCATATTACATAAGGGATTACATGTTATGGAGTTCTTTTTCTTTAAAAAAAATTTTTTCCATGTCTTTTATGTTTTTCTCCTTCAGTGCAGCGTAAACGCACAATGATTTTAATCAGCCAGCATGGTAGTGCATAATTAAGGGATGGCAATTAATTTTGTTGAACCGGTGCTAAAAAAAAAATTTATTTCTGCTCCGACTGTAAATAAGTAACAATATTATGTGGAACTTTTGTTTTTATGACTCACTGAAATTGATTACAAGAATTAAAAATAATTCCTTTGAATTTTTTGTTGGATAAATTTTATTTTTTGTTCAAAATGAAATGTGGGGAGGTAATGAAGATGGTAATGTACGAGGCTTAATTTAGCTACGTGAAATTTAGCTTTTTTAAATTTATATGTTGATTTTTTTATCCTCTTATGTAATTGCAATTTTTATGATCCTCCAAAATAAACTGTATATAATATTTCTTGTGTGGATACGATCTTGGGTCTTTTTTTGTGTGTGGCCAGATTACGATCTTAAGTCTAAATATATACTTTTCTGATCTATATTTTTAAATAGATAGATTTCAGGTCACACGTTACTACGTAATGTTCCTAAGTTAGTAAGTTCTTAACTTTGTGATTATAATATATATTACGTAATGTATATTTAGATTATTTGCTCCATCCCCTTCTGCTACCATTTATGCAAATAAAAATATTAATTTTAGATCAAAATGGAAATACAACGTGGGGAGGAAATGTGGGGAGGTGATGTAGATGGTAATGTACGAGGCTTAATTTAGCTACGTGAAATTTAGCTTTTTTAAATTTATATGTTGATTTTTTTATCCTCTTATGTAATTGCAATTTTTATGATCCTCCAAAATAAACTGTATATAATATTTCTTGTGCGGATATGATCTTGGGTCTTTTTTTGTGTGTGGCCAGATTACGATCTTAAGTCTAAATATATACTTTTCTTATCTATATTTTTAAATAGATAGATTTCAGGTCGCACATTATTACGTAATGTTTCTAAGTCCTTAACTTTGTGATTATAATATATATTACGTAATGTATATTTAGATTATTTGCTCCAACCCCTTCTGCTACCATTTATGTAAATAAAAATATTAATTTTAGATCAAAATAGAAATACGACGAAACAAAACTTGTAACATTGTGTATTCAATTTTTTTTTTTTGGCCATAAACAAAATTGGTTAACATGACTCGTCTTAGCAATAAATAAACAGCTATAAAGATTTTTTATTTATATCTAATTTATTATCATATTTATATAACTCATATCCTATATTTATGCTTTGTGGTTACTGTCGTGATTTAACCAATATCTCCCTACCTATGACTTTCTACGGGATATTTTATTTATTTTGCTTTCTAAAAACTTCCACTTCTCATTATCATGATCTCAGTTGCCTCAAAACTGATGGCCACATGAAGGAGGGAGCACATTCCATGCTTATCACAATGATGAGCATGGAGTGCTCATCACAATTTGGACCATCCAGATTGATTTTAGATGATTTAGATTGAATTTAAATTTTTTATATATTTTAATCAATTTTTTGCTTTAATAGATACATAATTTAAAATAAATATAACATCATAACTAACATATCTTTAAAAAATAAATGTATCATTAAAAATTTGTATACTAAAAATTTTAAATCTAAACCATTCATATTAGATTTTGGATGGTTTAGATTGCATTACAATGATGATCACATGGTGCTCATCGTTGCGATAAGCAATGTGAAGAATCGTAATATCATCTCCCATTTTGAATAAAATTACAATTAAGCGGGAAGTTAAAGTAACTTCCATCACCTTTTACCCACTTTCTCCACTTCCTCGTGTTTTTTTTAATTTTTATTTTTCATTTTTTGTGGTTAAAGCCATGATTCCTATAAAAAAAAGTTATGATTTTTTCAAAACTTTTTAAATTTGAATTTTAAATCATATCATATGATATATCATATATGTAGTGAACAAAAAACTAGTTTGGACCGGCCGGTTCAACCAGTAAACCGGTGAACCCGTCAGTGGACCGGTTCGGTCTGGATACTAAACCAGGAAGAAGTTGAATTGGTAGAGAACCGGTCAAATCGGTGTGAACTGATGAAAACAGGTAATAAACCGATTTAAATGATTAGGTTGTTATTAGTTCTATTTTTTCTTATGCAGCTCCTAATATATCAGCCCCTATAGATTTAAATGGATTTTAATGATTATTTTGGTATCAATAATTATTAATTTTAATTAATGATGAACCATAAAGATCAAATTTCTCAATGTTGTTATACTTTGTTACAATTACAATCAAATTATTGTCATATTTTCTTATATTTTGCTATTAGTGATTGTTAATGTTGTTATATTTTGTTATTTTTAATTAAATTATATTATTTTAATATGACCGATTGGATCCTGAGTTGACCCCGATTCGACCAACTAACCCTTGAACCACTATCTCAACTGGTTTAGTGTTCGGTCTAGTTTTTTGTTCCTTGCATATATGAGAAGTTAAGAAGGGGAGAATTTGTTGGATGATTCAAACAACCCTATATTAAGCTGTTTTTTCTCAATAATTTTTATGAGATACTCAAACTTTAGAGTTTTGTGAACCTACGCCTATAGGTTTCATTATGGTTCTGTCTACTCTGCTCTCTGTCTCATCATCTCATTGACTTTGTTGTTCTTATTTGGATACATTTCTTCTCCGTAGTGCTCACGAGTGGATCATCATCTCCACGATTTCTTGAATTTGGATGGCACAAAAAGGAGAGAGTTTAATTTCCATGATTTCTTTTTCTTTTTCTTCCTTCATCTTCTTGTAGGATTCATTTGTTGGTGACAGTAGAGGTCAGCCATCTGTTCAAAGTGATATTGAAATGGGAGCAAACACAAGGTCTAAGGAACAACATTAACTGTGATATGGGAATGGATGCTTTTAATATGTAGGTGCGAAGTTTTTCATGTTATTCAAGCTTTTGTTGACTTAAAACATTAATAGAGCATATAAGAATATTGCACGGGCACCTACAATACGATAAAAGAGGCCTTTTACGGCGGTTAACATGAGCTTTCCATGGTGATTTTGAGTGGGATGTCTATGTCATTGACATAAAAAAGTAGAGGACTTTATTGTATTGCACCTTATTGATATGTAATCATATTTCTATTTTAAAAAATTGAAGTATGTAATACTGAGTTCAAGCAAAAAATAAAATATATAAGATTATGCCTTTAAGACATTATAGCATTATTTTCATTTTTAATAGAATTTAAAAGGACTTATATGCAGTGTTGTTTCTTCGAATTTTTAATACTTAAGGTTCATTATTATATTTACAACTAAAATATTTAATATTTATTTTACATTTTAGATTCAGAATAAAAATCTTGAATAAATATTTTAAATTTTAAATTAAGAAAAACATAAAAATCAAATAACTGTATTTTATGATCTCATTTTTATTTTAAACATACATATGGGATCTTATATTTAGAATAGGAAGCTATACCTAAGAAAGAATGAACACACATCCCATCCAATAATGATTTATAGTTTACATTGTTGATGGTAGTTGTCAAAGTAAATTATACGGGTGTATTTTAAATCTCAAATTGGAAAAAATAAAAAATTTAAATAATTATTTATATATATAGAAGTGGATACTTGGTCTTCCACCAAAATTAAGTGCTTCAATCATGTTTATACATAATATTATAAGTGAAGTCAATTTGTCTTTGTAATGATGTATGGTTAATTGTGATTATATTAGCAAAACATGTTAG